CCAAACTGAGCTACATTCTGCAAGATAGGCACTATGCAGCCACTGAACATGTGACACATGTCTTAATGCCATCCACTACCCGGTGACTTACAAGAAATCACCGAATGCTCTCTAATACCAACTTACCAGTCTCATGCTCTACAGGCATGCCTTGATCTGTGCTTAAGTAAACATACACACACATGTACACACACATGTATGCACACATACAAAAATATACACACACATATATGCATGCACACACATACATACACATAGGTATGAGCACACACATATACACACAAACATCTATGCATGCACACACGTATACACATATGCACGCTCACACACACACACACATATATATGCATACACATACACCCACATATGCATGCATGCATACACACACCCACAAAGCACACTCAAAGGTAGGAGCTTAGATTGTAGGTGAACCCCTCCAACAGCAGGCAGCTAACGTGCTACAATCCTGATTGTAAGCAGACAGGGCTGGGCGGAACATTGTTTCCCCACACAAACCAAGCAGCCCCTGCTACATTGCTGTCCTGGCTGGGAGTCTGTCCTGGGCTGAATTAGAGTGGAAATTGCCACCTGCTGGGTGCTGATTCAACACTGTTTGCTGAAGCACTTCATCTCCTGGCTCTCCTTAGGATTTCCCAAGCTTTCAGATGCTCTGGGACAACCATCAGAAACCTTAAAGCACTGCCCCCACCACAAGAGGTCATTAGACGACCCACTCGGAAGTTCCTTGTGTTTTTGTGACAGTAACCGAAAGAATGTCGGCAGCCGGCTGCTAGCCCCACTAACCCAGTAAATGCCCAGGTGGGGTGGGAGTCATGTGACCAGCTGGGGTTTGTTCCACACTCACTGAGAAGCCTGATCCAGTCTGCAGGGCAGGGTTTAGCAGCCGCAGAGACAGAAAGCTGAGCTAGGAAAGCCCTCAAGATTGCGTGAGCAAAGACGAGTGGACAGTCAGAACAGCAAGTTCCAGAAGGAGCAGGCCGGGTCCTTACACCACACACTCCCTTCAGTTAAAGTATTAAGCTGGACCACGAAAGTGTTGGTTTTTTTATGCAGTCTTTTAAGGTTTCTTCAGGGAAAAGTAGCTCTTTAGACTGTCAGTCTTTCACGCTTTAGTGGGAACCGAACATTCTAGTGTCCTCCCACACAGTTACTAAGGGGTGAGATACAGGGTAACCAGAGAGGCTGGTGCAGCCAAAAGCAAAACTCCCCACCTCCTGGGGGCCATCCCTGACATCGGCTGACACTCAAGTTCTTCTTAGGTAGCAACTCAACAGGGCGTGCCACAGAATGTCCCCCACCCTACCCCAGAGCTAAACACAGAAACAGTTGAATTTTAAAGTAGCTTTCTCTTTCTTTGCTTTGAATCTCTGTATAAGGGCCAAGGACACAGCTCGGTAGAAAGAGTGCCTGCCTCTCATACAGGAAGCCCTGGGTTACAACCCAGGAGTAAGAAAAAGACAGAACGTGATGGTTTTAAGTTTGACTTCCAACGCCAGTGACAGCTCCACTGATGAGGTCCCCAGGCGTTTCCAGCAGCGGCAACATGTCCCAAAGTCAAACCAAAGGCCATGATGGCCTGACGAGTCCAGCGCACGTGTGAAGGGTGACAGCAAGTGGCAGGAACAGGAATGGGACCCAAGGACTGACAGAAAAAGACCAGGATACAGGGGCCGGCCACATCAGCCAGCCAAGGGGCTGTAGCCCAGCCGGCAGAATGCTTGCCTAGCATGCAGGAAGCCTGCGTCTGCTGTCAGCACCATAAAGCTAGGCATGCACCGCACAGATAAATCCCAGTGCCCGGGAGATGAAGAGGAGATCTGAACCTGAAGGTCAGTCTCAGCTGCATACGGAGTTTGGGGTCTACCCAGGGTACATGGGCACACACACAAAGGTGTGTCGGGGAAGGGATTGTTCTGTGTGACATGAGAGAGAGATGTCTAGCAAACAGAGTCGACCCACGGGAAGGTAAACATCACTACCACATACACACAGAGAGGCAGAGAACTTCAGGAGACCAGTGGAGACCACCGGTGCCTACAGGGAGGACTGGAGATTATGAGGGCTGGTACTGCAGAGGAAAATACAGGGGCAGACACAGCTCATCAAGGTGGAGGTGACCTACGTTAATCGTCCAGGGTAGAATTACAGTGGAAGACACTGAAGCCCAGAGACTCATTTATCACTGCCAGGTCACACAGTACCGGCCAGCACTACAAAGAACTCAGGTCACTGGATTCCCAAGCCCAAGTCATGTCTAAAAGGTCATACAAACAATCACCGCAGCCGGCTCGGCAGTTAGGAGTACGTAGTGCTGTTCTCACTGCTGATCTAGAGAACCAGAGATCGAGTCCCAGCACCCAGGTCAGAAGATTCACAACTGCCTGCAACTCCAGCGCCAGGGGATCCAATGCCTCTGGTGTCTGTGGGCACCTGCACGTGTGCTCACAGACCACCACACACACACTCCAAAAAAATTAAAGAAAGATTGTACTATAAAGGGACCAAATTTTTAAAAATCTGAAGAGATAAATGCAATTTGTTCTATTTGAAAAATAAAAAATAAAAAAACAAGCCAAGCACAGTGGCAAATTTCTTTAATCCCAGCACACAGGAAGCAAAAGCAGGACAGTGAATTCTGGAGCAGCCTGGGCTACAAAGAGAAACTTTATCTCTAAAAACCTGGAAAAAACAAAAAAACAAAAAAGGAGTCCAGTGAAGCGAAGCCTTTCCTGGGGAGGACCAAGTCCTGGAGCCACCACAATGACAGCACCACACGCCTCAGGAGTCACCTTTGCGCATGCCTGGGAACAGCAGGAGGAGGCGTGCGTCCTCGATGGATCTTTAATGGAGGCAAACGTTGAGCCCATGACCAACGCTCTGTCGGGCAGAGGGATAAATACAAAATAAAAGCCTCGTGCTCAGTCAGTCAGTGAAGCGCTGGCTTTGCAAGCCTGAGGACCAGTTCAGACTCTGTATATAAGACAGAGTACACGGCACACCCACAATCCTAGCCTGAGGAATCCTAACCAAGGCGAAGGCAGGAGGCTGCCTGGATCTCACTGGTTACCTAGTCCAGCAGAAACGGTGAGGCCCAGGCTCAGTGAAAGCCCCTGTCTCAAAAAATAAGGTGGACATCAACTACGAAAGACACCGAACGCTGACATTTAGAGAGAAGGGCGACGCAGTACCGTGTCACTGTCTACACAGCCGAGAGACCTGCAGCAGCCAGACATGGAAGGGGAAAGTCTATAGGGCAAACCCATGAACAGCCACGGCTAAGTGAACGGCCACTGAATGGGCCACGTGGCTCCTGACCGATTCTTGAAGTCTCAGAGAATGTGTGTTGGCTTTTGTACTGTTTTGCAGATATTTTTTAGAGTAGCTTTAGATTTTCGAAAACAGAGCAGAAGTCACAAAAATGCCCGTGCCCGCGCAAGCATAACCTCCTCCATTATTAGCATCTGCCCCCACAGCAGCACACACATCATACCAAGTGAGCTCGCTTTACAGACTAGGAAAGGACAAAGCAGGGCACAGAAATCCCTGTTGCAGGTCAAGGCCTTCCCAGAGAGACCAGTGCGTCTAGGAGAGGCCAGTGCATGTAGCCAACAGAGACCCTCTGACAACCATCCCACAGGTGCCTGGTTTCAAGTTGGCCTGTAAGAGCGACAGCTGTGGGAAGGGAAGAGTAAGGAGGGCAACCAGGTGGAGAAGTGCTAGGTATGATGACCCGCAGGCGTGCAAATGGCATCACGGGACCCACCCCTCTCTGCACCAATGAATTCCTCAACGGATGGGAGATTAAGAACGGATAAACGAGAGAGAAGCGGACAGTCACCACAGGCACTTTTTCTGCACAAGTCTGATTCCCATGCTTCCAGTCACCTTGGACCAGAGTATTAATCCAAAGTGAGAGCACAGAAGTCTTCAAGGTAGTGGCCCGTGAGCAGGCCACACGGGGGATACGACGCCATTCTCTGAGTGGCATACTCACATCGTGTACACTACTGGCCACTTGAGTCACTGAAGACTTGTTGCCGTTATCAGATCAATTGCTTCAGCCCTGGCTTCTGCTTCTACTCAAGTAATTGGTATTCTACGCTTTAAAAGCGTCTCCAAGGTCAGGTGTGGTGCTGGCCTGTAATCTCAGCAGCCAGGAGGCTGAGGCAGAGGGTAGGGAGCTCCAGGACAGCCTGGGCTACACGAACCATTTCAAAAACTCCTAACAGGATACAGAAACCCTGCCAAGTGGCAGCCATTTTCATCTTTCTCAATGACTCACGTGTGTGCATGTGAGGGGCACTTGTGTACTGTGCTTCATCTGTAGAGGCCTGAGGACAGCTGGCTCCCTCCTTCCACCTTGAAGCAGGTGCTAGCTTTTGCCATGCTGAACTCTTAGGGTCAGCCGGCCCTTGAGTTTCTGGGCAATTCTCCTGCCTCCACCTCCCATCACCCAGCAGGAGTGCTGGGATTACAGATACACGCCCATGGGGTCTTCCTCAAGCCTTGAGGCCTGTGTGGCCAGCGCTTTCATTCACTGCGCCTCTGTCCGCCCTGGCTATGGACACCTGAATGAACTACACACTCTAGGTATTCCACTGAAAAGCTCATCGGAATCGGGGCTCTGATCAGATAATTTCAGTATTTTTCCTTCCTTTAAAGACCACGACTTGGCATCATTAACTCGAGTCCAAAACAACCCTGGCACTAGCCTAGTGGAGTCATTTTAGGGAGCAATTACCAGCAGCTACTTCTCTGCCTGGGATTTCTTTGGAGGAAAGCCTGAGCTACAGAGAACAAGGAGTTGGGATGTGAGTGCCTCAGCATTTTAAAAACTATGTACGGTCGCTGGCGCAGAGATGAAACATTTATCCTCCTCGTGCGGCCACTTTGGTTTCCAGGGAACTGACTGTCGGTGAGGCAGACGGGGGAGAGGTACACCCACAGACGCTCACAACACACACCAGAGTCGACTGAAATGTTTCAAAGTGCCTTTTCATGCCTTTAATTCAAAGATGAACACATTTCAAGGTGACCCAATCCTCAAGCGACAGACAGTGTTTTAAAAGGGCCAGAACTCTCCACTTAAGCCATTTCTAGTGACACGTTTCAATCGCGTCCTCCAGGGCTCCGGCTGCTGTCTCATCTGGCAGTCTCTTTTCCAGGCAAGGCAGTCCATTTGCAATGAGGGCTTGAAGTTTGTCTTTCCTCCTAATTAAAATCCACAGGGCTTAGATACTTTTAGTTAAAAAAAAAAGTGTTTCAGCTCAGCAGGTACCACAGAAGACTTTCAATTATGTAATAATACAACAAACTCCAATTATTATTTTATAGTTTTCTATTTATCAAAACAGCATCAGAATAACAAACGACAGTCTTACTGTGTATGCTTACAATGTAAAGGTGTTCATAAAAAGATGCTCCACTTAAAATACACAAATGTACAATCAACATACTGACTGTGTGACCAATACACAGAATTGTATCATTTCTGTCTTCTTCAATATACACTCCAGCAGACTAAGCTACACTAGAAATCTGAACATTTGCCTCCCTGCGTATGAAGAAGCCGTGTAGGCTGCTTTCTCTCCATGCCCAAGCACAAACTGGCCCGAGAGAAACAGCCTTGCGGGGAAAGCCTCCCCTGGACTGCAATCCACCCCTTCCTGCAATCCCATGATTCTGAAGGGACTTTTGTCAGGTCTCGGCCTTCGAAACATCCAGAAATGAGCTCAAACTGGTCTATAGAAGGAAACTTGTAAAACAGGGTGTGGGAATACCAGACTTTGTTCAGAGACCCACTTCCCCATCAGCCTGGGAGTAGGCAGCTGTAAGACAATGTTTACTAAAAACATGTTTACTAAAAACAATACAATGCCCGGGGCAATATGTTCCTGAAAAGGGTGGGCCCACGGAACCGCCCTGACCTCGACCTTGTCCAAAGACTAAATGCCTCTTCTGACACACCCAGATCAGTTTTTGGTGTCAGAGCAGAACCAGCCAGGGGTAGAGAGAGAGCAGAAGCTTTTCTGGAGGCAAGCCTTTCTTGGGAAGTTTTCTAGAAACTTTTTGGTGCCTGCTTAAAGTTTTTCTTTACACTGTTGAACGAGACTCTGTGTTGTCAATCCCCGACACCCTCCACACATTCTCAGACACTGGCTGTGCAGCGGACGCGGCAACAGGGTTTCTGTCCCCCAAAAGGAGCCATGTCCCTTACCTCTGGCAGAAGGGACACATGGCTCTCAGAACATCGAAGCCCACACCGACCTCCAGGCTCACTCAGTGTCACAAATACCTGTTACACACTTCAAAGTCCCCACTAGCATCCTAGCCTTCTTACCTCCTCCTCTGCCTGAACCCCCTGCAGCCCAGGGGTCTCCCTCCCCACAGCTACTCACCCTTCCTTCATATGACCCAGACACTCGCCCTTCCCTCTCTTGTCCGCCACTCCCTCCTATGAAGTTCTCTATCTCCCCAATGCTCTTCTCTATCTCTCTGATGCTCTTCTCTATCTCTCCAATGCTCTTCTCTATCCCTCCTATGCTTTTCTCTATCTCTCCTATGGTCTTTTCTATCTCTCTGCTCTTCTCTATCTCTCCTATGGTCTTCTCTATCTCTCCAATGCTCTTCTCTATCTCTCCTATGGTCTTCTCTATCTCTCCAATGCTCTTCTCTATCTCTCCTATGGTCTTCTCTATCTCTCCAATGCTCTTCTCTATCTCTCCTATGCTCTTCTCTATCTCTCCAATGCTCTTCTCTATCTCTCTGCTCTTCTCTATCTCTCCTATGGTCTTCTCTATCTCTCCTATGGTCTTCTCTATCTCTCTGTTCTTCTCTATCTCTCTGCTCTTCTCTATCCCTCCTATGCTCTTCTCTATCTCTCTGCTCTTCTCTATCCCTCCTATGCTCTTCTCTATCTCTCTGCTCTTCTCTATCCTATGGTCTTCTCTATCTCTCCAATGCTCTTCTCTATCTCTCCTATGGTCTTCTCTATCTCTCCTATGGTCTTCTCTATCTCTATGGTCTTCTCTATCTCTCCAATGCTCTTCTCTATCTCTCCTATGCTCTTCTCTATCTCTCCAATGCTCTTCTCTATCTCTCCTATGCTCTTCTCTATCTCTCTGCTCTCCTCTATCTCTCCTATGGTCTTCTCTATCTCTCTGCTCTTCTCTATCTCTCCTATGGTCTTCTCTATCTCTCTGCTCTTCTCTATCTCTCTGCTCTTCTCTATCCCTCCTATGCTCTTCTCTATCTCCCCTATGGTCTTCTCTATCCCTCCTATGCTCTTCTCTATCTCTCTGCTCTTCTCTATCCCTCCTATGCTCTTCTCTATCTCTCTGCTCTTCTCTATCCTATGGTCTTCTCTATCTCTCCAATGCTCTTCTCTATCTCTCCTATGGTCTTCTCTATCTCTCCTATGCTCTTCTCTATCTCTCCTATGCTCTTCTCTATCTCTCCTATGGTCTTCTCTATCTCTCCTATGCTCTTCTCTATCTCTCCTATGCTCTTCTCTATCTCTCTGCTCTTCTCTATCTCTCTGCTCTTCTCTATCTCTCCTATGGTCTTCTCTATCTCTCCTATGCTCTTCTCTATCTCTCCAATGCTCTTCTCTATCTCTCTGCTCTTCTCTATCTCTCCTATGGTCTTCTCTATCTCTCCAATGCTCTTCTCTATCTCTCTGCTCTTCTCTATCTCTCCAATGCTCTTCTCTATCTCTCCTATGGTCTTCTCTATCCCTCCTATGCTCTTCTCTATCTCTCCTATGCTCTTCTCTATCTCTCCAATGCTCTTCTCTATCTCTCTGCTCTTCTCTATCTCTCTGCTCTTCTCTATCTCTCCTATGGTCTTCTCTATCTCTCCGATGCTCTTCTCTATCTCTCCTATGCTCTTCTCTATCTCTCTGCTCTTCTCTATCTCTCCAATGCTCTTCTCTATCTCTCCTATGGTCTTCTCTATCTCTCCTATGGTCTTCTCTATCCCTCCTATGCTCTTCTCTATCTCTCCAATGCTCTTCTCTATCTCTCCTATGGTCTTCTCTATCCCTCCTATGCTCTTCTCTATCTCTCCAATGCTCTTCTCTATCTCTCCAATGCTCTTCTCTATCTCTCTGCTCTTCTCTATCTCTCCTATGCTCTTCTCTATCTCTCCTATGCTCTTCTCTATCTCTGGCTGTCTCACTATCGCCACTGTTCTCCCCTGCTCCCCTAGCCCTGGCCATGCTCAGGTGACTTTCTTCTCTTCCTGCTCTAGACTCTTCCAGGTGCCTTTGGATATTTTCTCTCTCTTAATCACAAATAAATAAGTAAATAAAATATAAATTATTTGCCCCTAATAGTACAGCAGCCATGCAGGCAGTTTTTGTTTTTTGTTTTTTTGCTATGTCCCTTGAATATGATTTTGTTGATGGTGGTTTTGTTCAGTTTAGTTTTGAGACAGGGTCTCATGTATCCCAGGCAGGCCTCGAAATTGTTCATCTTCTTGCCTCTACCTCCCAGAACTGGGATCAAATCACAATGCAGGAACTAAACCGAGGGCTTCAGGCATGCCAAGCAAACACCTGAGAGGCATGGCTGCTCTGAGAGATCAGAGAACAAGCCAGGCTCCCCTGGGATCCATTCCCCAGGGCAAGATGTTAACAAGCCACAGAGCAGCAGGCATTCGCATGGGATTCTTGAAATACCCGCGCACACGAATACATATTTTAAAGTGCACTTTGGCTCAATTCCCCTCCCTTCCTTAGACAACTGTCCTAAACCACCAGGATACAGACAAAAAAGGAGGTGACCAAGACGGGCATTTGAACCACTACATTTAGGACAGGGCACAAGTCCAGAGTGGGGCATTGAAGCCACACAGATACAGAAGACACCAGGCACACAACAGCCCAGAGTCCAGACATGGGAAGGAAGAAATGGGCTCCCTATGTCCCTAATTTTTACACAAGCTCCTATAAAAACAAAGGTAAAAGACAAATATATAGAAAGCACTCTGTTATCATAATTCGTTTCTCCATTGGTCTAGACAGTCATGCCTATAATCCTAGCACTTGGGAGGTAAAGGCAGGAGGATTGGGAGTTCAAGGTTCTAGGCCAAACTAGAATATAAAAGACCACCTCAGGGACTGGGGAGTTGAGTCAGCCATTAAGAGCACTGCTGCTCTTCCAGAGGACCTGAGTTCAATTCCCAGCACCCACATGTCAGCTTACAACTGTCTCAAACAAAAGCCCCAGGGGACCCAGGGGTACCAGGCACCCATGTGGTACACAAACACACATGCAGACAAAAGTCCCATTGAAAGACCCCCACCGCACTCCTGTAACCTTGCCCTTCCTAAGAGTGCGAATTTCAAAAACCGTGACATCACCAAGACGAGTACCCTATTGGCTGTGCTCTCACCTTCTACCTCATTTGCATATCAGACCTGTCGGACCTGATTGAGAGCTGCACTTGCAAGGTCCGCAGGACTTCATATGCAAATAAAGCCATGTATCCAAAACTAACCAATCATTCTGCTTCTGTGAGCCCGCTTCTGCCTCCCCAAACCCCATATAAACCATATTGAATCCAGCCCGATATGCTCAGCCTCCCGAAGTGCTGCAGCATCCGCAGGCGCCTGTGTAAGCAATAAAGAACCCTCTTGCTGTTGCATCCAGTGGCTCTGTCTCGCTCTTTGGGCAAGGGTCTCCTGCCTGGAAGATTCCCTTCGGGGGTCTTTCACCATTCACATAAATAAAACTAAAATAAAATACAATGGATCTTAAAGATTTAAAATAAAATACCATCTCAAAAACACCAATTCAAAAAAGATGAAAGGTAAACGGAAGGTAAGTGGATATCACGTTTACAGTCTTTTCTGTTGTTGAGTTTTAAGATTTTGTATTGGGCTGGTTAGATGTCGCAGAACAATGGCTGCCCCTGCAGGACCCCTAGTCTCAGCACCCACATAGTGGCTCATCACTGTCTGAAGCTCCAGTTGGGGGGGGGGGTGATGACCTGTTTCAGCTTCCAAGGGTACCAGGAATGTGCGTGGAGTACACACATATATGCACGCAAAACACCCAAACACATAAAAGGAAAACCAGCATCGATGGCGGATCAGACCAGGGGCCTCGAACCAGACCAATGATTCTTTGCGATGAACGCCTGCACATAACAGATACAGGGGTTTACTGCCCGACTCACTATGCTACACCGCAGCTTCCAAGACAGGGTTTTCCCTTGTTCTTCTCTGAAATTTTATTTTGTTTTATGGGGGAAAAGGGTGGCAAGATGTGAAAGACACAAAGAATAAATAAAAAGATAACCAGTTAATCTCAAGAAACTATGAAGCTGGGCCACAGCTAATGGGGGAAAGACACAGTCACCACCTTTGTACAGTGAAAGCCACGTGAATTCCCTGACAGGGTGCTTGCTAGCAGGGTTTGAGTCCTGAAGCACCCTTCTGAGACAAAGAGTGGCCCCTCGGAGTGACTCTGGCTTCATCCAAGGGTTCCTTTGGGTCCCGCCAAGATTACTCTGGGTTCCAGACAACCTCAATTGTGGATGTTTCCATCTGTTGTTAATAACAGTATCTGTCAAACGGTCCCCATTTCCTCTCAACTAAGATCTTTTTGAACCTTTTGCCTTAACAGACACAGACAAACAAAAAGCGAGATGCTATTAAAATGTCCCTAGCACAAAATCACCACTTCCCAGATGCCTCCCAAGAAGCATGCACTTGAAAGGAAGCGTGTGCTGCTAGCTTTATGTCAACCTGCCATTAGCGAGCGTCATCTGAGGTGGGGCCACCCCTGGGCTGGTGGTCCTGGGTTCCATAAGAAAGCAGGCTGAGCAAGCCATGGGGAGCAAGCCAGTGAGCGGCACCCTCCACGGCTTCTGCTTCAGCTCCCGCCTGCAGGTTCCCACCCAGGTTGAATCCTTTCCCGCCTTCCTTCAATGACGCACAGTAATTAGAAGAGTAAGGGAAAGGAACCCCTTTCTCCCCAGCTTGTTTTGCTTATGGTGTTTCACCACAGCAAGAGAAACCCTAACTAAGACAACGCCACTGTCCACCACCCTCATCTCGTAAGTGTGAGGTATCTTTACAAACAGAAGTCGTCACCTTTGCATGACATTGAAAACTAGGAACACACCTGTCCACACCAGAGCCCAGCTGTACAGACAAGTCCTCCCAAACAGCAAGTAGATCAAAACGCATGCCCTCATTCCACACTGTGAGGGTCTTCCATCTGCCTAGGTTCCTTAGGGAACTAAAGAAAAGTCATGTTCATGAACACTCCACTTAAAGGAAAAGTCAGAAAAGTCTAGAACATGAGGACGGAGCCTGGAGGAATGAACAAAGGTAACCGGTAAACTACCCAGACTCAGACAGCTGGCCCTCCATCTTCTAACACAACCAGAATAGCCGTATTGGAAAACTTTCACACAGCCAAATGCCAGGCTGGGAAGCAACTTTCCTTGCAGAGTTCTCATCATAAAAATCAAGTTCAGGGTCAGACAGATGGCTCGGTGAGTGAAGACACTTAGTTTGAATCCTAGGCGGCCAATGGAGGCAGCAGAGCCAACTCTGGAAGCCGCACTCTGACCTCTAGAGGTGAGAAGTTGCAAGTGTACCCCCAACATACATAAAGTAGGTAAGTAAATGCAACCTTTAAAACCTGGATTCAAGGCTGGAGAGATGTCTCAGCACTTAGGATCACTAGTTGCTCTTCCAGAGGACCTGCGTTCAATTCCCACAGGGCAGCCAGACCATTTGAAACACCAATCCCAAGGGGTTGGATGCCCTCTTCTGACCACAATAGGCGTTGCAGGCATATGGTACACACATGTCCAGGCAAAACAAGAACATAAATTTAAAAAATAATAACAACATTGATGAATGGATTCTATAATATTTCTGGTGATAACTGCATTTTCTAAAACTTTTGTAATGAATGTGTTTAAATAAAGTTAATTTCTTTTAAAATTAGCAGTGTTCATTAAAAAAATATTAAGGTGCCTTCAATCAGCAAAACCCACAAAAAGTCATCAATTAAAGCAGCGTTGAAATTAATGGAGAGCACCTCTTCCCTAGTGCATATCCAATCCATGTGATTTACTTTAGAGGGTTAGATTACAGCTGTCACTCCTAAGGGTGGATGCCACAGCACATAAGGACTCTTGCAACTACAAGAAGAGTAAGAAAAACGTAAATGGGGGCATGAGCGCATTTATTACTATTCTAAATGGCAGCTGTTTCTGTCTACCCTGTTACTTCTTATGGCTCTCTGAGAAAAGATCTTATACGGTCCAGGCTGGCCTGACACACAGCCGATGCTGGTATGACAAGTGTGTACCACAGTGCCCAGCCTGGACTCAGGGATAAAGAAGTAAAAATGAACCGGGCATGGTGGTGTATGCCTTTAATACCAACATTCAAGAGGCAGAGGCAGAAGGATCTCTGTATGTTCAAGGCCAGCCTGGTCTCCAGTGCGTGTTCCAGGACAGCCAGGGCTACACAGAAAAACCTTGTCTAGAAAACAAAAAAAAAAAAAAAAAAAAAAAAAAGAAGGAAAAATGGTTTCACTGCATCTCCTGAAAGGAAGATGTGAAACTCAGGCAAATGTTTGGGGGACACTATGTTACTCCCTCTACATGTGCACAGGCACAGACCCTCCCCACCCCAACCCTGAGCCCCCATGTCCAAGGCTCTTTCAATCAGTTATTGCTAAAGTTTACATTCCAGGGTCGGAGGGCAATGGGAACACGAAATGAACCTGGTAGAGAAACTAGCTGTCAAGCATGCTTACCACTTTCCTTCCATTCAGTAAACCCTGAACACTTAAAGTCCAGACTGTTTATTCAAAGAATACGTCCCTTTTAGAGGGAAAAAAGTAACCATGTATAACACTTTCAGCTAACTTCTCAAAATCAGCTCCCACAAACATACCTTTCTCCGCTTAGTTAATATCGTTATTGCACACTAAGAGCAGAGAAATCGACCAGAGGCTACAAGTATCCTTGCAGTATCCAAACCCGCCTTCCGACAACAGCAGTTTCCTAATAACTATTTTACAAACGAAGACACTTAAGCACCAAGTGAATAATTTACCCAAAATTACACGACTAAGAGGGTTCAGGATACAAAATAAACTATTATACAAAGTTAAAGCACTAGGATTGGCTCGGTTACCTTTTTGCTACGTTTGAATTACAGATTTTTAAGTTGTCTTTCCCAGCAGTATCTGAGCCAGTATCAGCAAGAAGAAAAAGCTTAAGAGAGACATTTTTGTAAGCCGTCTAAAATCACTTTTAGCAGACCATGACAACTCTCGCACCAGCGCAGCTGACTTCGGGTACGGCCACGCGAGCAGGGCAGTAATGACACAAGTGCGCGGTCAGGCTTTTCTCTGGGGTTTGCTTACTTTGCAACCACAGAGCTACAAAGTGGAAAGGTCTAACCTTCCTTGCTTCCGCTTAAATGGGAGAAGTTCCCCGCCTTGGTTCAGGTCTCTGCCCATCAGGAACCGCCCTGGGGGCGCCCCCGCTCCTCCCCGAGCACGTGACCGGGCGAAGGGGAGCAACCCGCTGGCCCTTACCGAGTTCTGAGGCCCGACAGTGTGCAGCCATGGTGAAAAGCAGCCGAAGACCAACTCTTGCACTAGGCCGCCTTCCGCACCGGCCTACCTCCTTCCTGCCAAGTGCCCGCCCCGAGCCCCGCCCCAGCCACGCCCCCGAAGCCACGCCATGCCCCTTGAGCCCCGGTTGCCTGCACCTTTTTCTCCAGGAAGCTCCAGGGCAGGAGGGCGGGCGTGGCGCCCAGCCAGGACATCACACCTCTGTATACACCTATTCCAGTCCCCCCAGACCACACACGTGACCTGAGCACATTCCTGCTCCCACAAGTTTCCCCGGACCATTTAAAAATGCTTGCCAATTGAGCTCAACAGACTGACTCTTGGATACCTTACTGTAGGATCCTGAGTGGCAGTTCTAGAGTGGGCAGAGCTCTGCAACCTTGGACCTGAATTGTGGACGTAGCCCTCAGATAACTGCCAAGACAGTGTATGCTGTAGAGTACACTGCGATTTCCAGTCCTGACTCAGTGAATTAAGAGCAGCTAGGACGTGAGCCTGGGAAGACTTGGCCTCTCCTGTTTTTGAGACAGGTGTTTTCCCTCTGTAACCACAGCTGGCCCATAATGACTTCGTAAAACCAGAGGCCCAGAAACTTTCGTGATCCTCCTGCCTCAGACTCCACACTGCTGGGAATACAGATGGATGCCACCACATTCAACAAAAGACTTGGTCTCTTTCATTAAAAAAAAATTTCATTTTTTTGTATACATGTATTCAAGTATATACCACATGTGAACAAGCCCAAGACAGGATTCTCTGGAAGAGTTAGCAGGCATGAGCTGGGAACCAAACTGGAATCTAAGAGCCTGGATCCATCTCTCCAGCCCTGAAGGGATAATTTTTTTTATTAGTTCTGTGAATAATTGACTATGTGACCTTAGGACACATTCCTGGCCTTTTTGTTTGTTTGGTTTGGTTTTTCGAGACAAGGTTTCTCTGTATTGTTTTGGTGGCTGTCCTGGAACTTGCTCTGAAGACCAGACTGGCCTCAAACTCAGAGATCCACCTGCCTCTGCCTCCCGAGTTCTGGGATTAAAGGCATGCACCACCAATGCCCGGCCATTCCTGGCCTTTGTGAACTTCATTTTCCTCATCTGTAAGAGATGATCCTGACAACTTCTTGGCTCTCTAAAATTAAGATTATGTGACATCGGCATTTTCTTCAGCCTGGCTTCTCTGGATCACTCCAGGCTCGGCACAGGCTGCTAACCATCTAAATTGCCTTCACACATGGAGTCATCTCTGCTCGGCTGAAAGTCTCAGCTATGGGTTTCTGTAGCATGAACCAATTGCTCTAAGTGTTCTGTTACCCGAAAGCATTTTCATCTCAGGGGAATCCTGCTAGAGGGGTACTGAGACGCAACATTTAAGAACCAATCAGCAGTCTGGTAGTGAGGGCTCTAATGAGCTAAACCCATTCAAATTTCAATTCTACTTCATGATTAGATTTTAGGAATGTTGCATATATAGGGGGCAGGCAAAGAACAGACCAAGGCCAGCCCCCAGGACAAGCACACAGCAGAACCAGGACTCAGAACACACACGCAGGGTCATCCACGCATTCTCATTTGAGCACCTGAGCTTTAAGTCACCAGAGAAACTGAGGAGAGATGGGGACTGCAGATGTCTTCTAGGGGCTAGAAGGCAGAGGAAGCTTCTCCTAGTAACTCCAGACAGCATACAGCTTTGCCAGGACCTCGGCTTTATTCAAGCGAGACATGCTTTAGCCTCAGGACACTGTGATCTAGTAATATACATGTCAGTTCAAGTTACAAACTTGCTGCGGCAATGGGAAGCCAATGGCACAAAACTCAGAAATGCCCTTAATTTGTTAACTTCATAAACACCAAGCAACTTCCAATCCAAAAGACGCACGCACGTATGCTTTATTTAGGGTCAGACTCCCAGTTCAATCCCTGATGCATTGACAATAGTGGTACAGAGCAGGCGTGTTCCACATGGACAGGGACAACACTGCCCTAGGCTCATCAACAGACTCTGGCTGCGACATGCGTCCCCTGCTTCTCCCAGGCCAGCACTGCCTGCGTGCAGCGTCTTCTCCCGGTTGCCACAAACCTGTCAAAACTTAACTTTCTTTCTTCTAAGTATTAAAGGCCATTCAAAAGACAATTTTAAGAAAGCAAATTAACAGATGCTGCTCACCTGCATTTCCAAATTACTAATTTAATCTCTTCATATTACAAAAAGTAAATAAACTACAAATATACTCAACTGATCCAATTTATTATAAAGTTGGTGACTTTTTCAATGATCCAAACTTAAAGGATATGATACAAAAAAGTCTAATACATCCTAAATATTGTAAGATTTTGTAAAATCATGTGGTTGTTCACGCAAACACACAGATGTTCTGCTATGTATAGTAGTTTTCAGAAGAGTTAGTTTCAAGTTATTTTTCTGCCCTTTCTACTTGCTTTTCTTTTTAAGTAACCAACATGCATATTTCAAAAGGCAAGAGAAGCAAGTCTATCAATCTGGAAGGAAGTAAATGAACACCCAGCAAGTTAGGAAAATTTCAAGTTTATACAATTGAATTTCAAAATTAGGGCGTGTTCAGCTGAGAGTCTGTAACCAAACTGTCATTTGCTACACATTGCTGTATATGATGAAGAAACTTTCTGGGTATTTCCAGTTTTAATGCTCAAATGTATCAGAATTTTCCAAAGAAACAGAACATTATTTGTTTTAGAGGCATTTTATTTAGATAACTAAAAAATATTAGATGTCCAGAAGCAGTCAGTGTACAATGAAAGAGATCAAACCAGTTACTTTATCATGTATTTCCTCTTCTTCACAACTAAGCAAAGAGAAAAAGACATTCGGCTTTAAGGGAAAAGTCAGAAAAATAGGCCAATATATTTTTCTTCTCCATGACATAAAGAGCTACAAGGATGTAAGTGTAAAGTGGGAATTGTACGTTGGCGTGTTCACTGAGAGACAGCGGATATGGCACTGAGCACAGCCCCTCCCGCCTGCACCACACACTCAGCTGCCCTCACTCCCAGGACACTGAGGAGCTGCTCGTGCACCGGAGCAAATGCCCACTCCCCAGTGTGTTCTGCCCTCTTTGCCACGTGGAGAGTAACTCTGAAGGCTTGAATAGTCCACAAACTAAATGTGTCTATGGCATACATCTGGTGCTCAGGCTTTAACTTCAGGAGTTGAAGAATAGATGGAATCTGAATTCTCTGAAGCAATTTCTTCTGCAATTAAATAGACAAAACCAAAGTCAATTTAATAAAGGGGAAAAGGAAATTCCCATGTCTCTATAAGGAGGAAATTAACAGAAAGGAGTTCTTGAAGCATGTGTGGTGAGGATGACAAAACAGAAAGCTACTGAACATGGCATTATCAACTGGACTCAGGACACCAGATACCCGAGCAGAGCTCAGACACCCTCATCTGCTGTCTTCACACCACAGTCATAATCCCATCCCTGACCTTTCAGGATAAGCTTCAAATGACACCAACTACCCAATCAGCATTAACTAAATCACACCTTGCCAGCCCTGTCTTTTCCTTTAGTAAGTAAATGTCAGTACATAAGACAATGCAATTCAAAACCATAAGCATTAAATGCTTTTGGAGTGTTCTAATAGCATCAAAGGGGGTGGGGCTGGGGACACCACAGTCTGTGGTGAACTCTGTTTCTCAGTGCCCCAAGTCACTACCTAACAGCAAAGACCCACCTTCCAATCTAACCATTACCCATCTTGCCAAATCCTCCCAGTAAGGCCAAGTTCATCTTCTTTCTTTTGTTCTCAGTGCCTACTCCATGGCTACACACCTAGACTTTTAATGTCCCTAGTCTAATTCTTTCTCCACACTACTGTTCCTAAACTTACAGGAATCTCCACTTAAAACTCAAAGATTTTTCATTCTCTCAGTTTATAAAACTTTCAAAATTGTAAGAGCACATAAATAAGATGCTGGATGGTCTAGTTTCCTCCCATCTCATTTTTCCCTTACTCTTCCAACAAGGCAGTGAAAATCTTCACATTTTGCTTCTCTGCCTTGGCATGTCTGTTTTCTGATGAATCCCTCCACCCCTCATCAATACCATGTTGTCCTTAAAACCTCAACTGCCCATCCATGTCTCCACTAGTTTAAATGTTAATTCCCTTCCCAATTATAAACCAAGTAATTTGTTATGATACCACCTGTCTCCTAAGTTTATGAGAGCAACACATGAGCCATGTCCACAGAGTACACAAGGCCTGGAACTCTGTACCTTGAGAGTAACCCATCAGCCATGTCCAGGGTACACAAGGCCTGGGACTCTGTAATTAATGCTTAGGCACTTGTGTGTAAGCTTTCTACAATTTAATTCAAAATCTGTTCACACTTAATAAATTACTTAGCCACTGACCAAAACACACATACACTTCATCTTTACAACCGAGAACTCTTAGGAAAAAGTGAGTTTGTGCGTACCCAGCTCCTCTTCTGCTGTCTCTGGAAAAGCGATCTTGGGCTTTGGCAGTTCAGCACTGTCTTCTTCTGTGAAGAGAAAAGCAGGGACAGCTGACTAGGGAGCACAACAGGTTTCCACCAGCTCACAGGGCAATTCCTCCTTTAAAAGTTACTATGACTCTAAACCAGATGTCTCAGAGTCACTTCCAGTACTACAGTCATGCTGGGATTAGCAGTAAGTGTTTGATTTCTGGTTTTGAGATGAAAAACATGTTTTCAGTGGGAAGGATCAAGCAATTTAATACTAAGAGGACAGGATAGCTATTTGTAAATTCTTCACACTGTCTTCTAACAACTGTTATTCTATTTTTGTGTGTATCTGAGCCAGTAACCATTGGACTATCTCCCTACTCTTTGTAATAAATTATGAATTAAGTTCACTCAATTCATCACATAAAGGAGATTGCTCAATTAGAACATGGCTTCACTATGCTTATACCATATTACATAATTCAAAATCT